ATAGCTCTCCATACTTTTGTCTTGGCGGATTCAGCAGCATTGTTACGTTACCAGATTGACAAAATGACGCGCTCATCCGATGCATGCTATCTGACACGATACTTGTTCTTCCAACTGAGTTTACTCTTTCACATTACCTTCCCTTCCGTCTTCTTGTTTCTGACAAACAGGTGAATCAGGTGCACTAACCTCTGTTTCCTCTTCGTACTCGCAATCAGCTGTAAAGACATTTCTTGACGACTGTCATTCGAACAACTGCACTACCTTGACGTGTTCTTGATCGACTCTTGTCCCCATAACACGTGACATGTGCACAATTGTAAAGACAGTCAGCTGTGCGGCGAGCAAGCGTGGGGGAAGAAATTTTGAGAACCGCCTCCTGCAGAGTCGCTCAGCGGCATGCTGCCATCTGCACAATCCAACGTATTAAAAATATTTTCAGGTCAGAAGCGGTAATCAGTTCACTGTCTCCAAAGTTCCTAAACCTGTGCCAGTGTTTCAGCTTCGGCAGAAAATAAAACGAGTTTAGAGCAGAGACCTAGCGCTATTCTCGGCCGTCCATGCACTCTTCGGATAGGCAAATTGCAGCCTTTCTTTTCTGAAAGCACCTTCATATGTATCACCACCATCGCAGCTGTGACTGTTAATCTGGAAAAGCAGTGCCTGTACACAAAGGCTCTCGCAGACATCTGTATCTCTCGCGTTAGCCCAGCGATCCGTCTCAGAAAGCCCATTTAAACCACTTGCAGTAGACATCGAACATTTTCAGTCGTGGCTCACGATTCATGACAGTAGGTGAGCATCAGGATAACGATCGACCTGAACACTGAAACCTTAGTCTTCAGATTCAGCTCTACTATCGTCAAACGTTCGACCTAGATTCGTGCAGGATGGCGCTGGCAACTCGAATTTAATCATCGATCTCCTTCTCCCATTGTCCATCACCAGTAAACATTACCCTGAGTCTTGAATTTTCACATGTTCTCAACAGCCTCTTCAATAATCCGCAGAGTGCAAAGGGACGGAGAACGAAAGGGAGAAGGCTTTTCGATTTAGACACGTTCACTTGTATGCCGTCCGCGAATTTTTCCGAAGAGTGCCTGAGACGAGTTTCAGACAATGCCAACAAAACCACTGCCAGAAAACGGCAACGCTTCGGTTGCTCAGGGTTACGTAGTTCCCCATAGTACTCTCTCCGTCACTGAAGAATGTCCTCATACATGGTAAAAGGGCTTCTAAGACTATTACGCTGCCATACTTTTCATCGCCGAGGCAGGCGGCCGATCTTCTACCAGAATACCTTGTTTGCCGTCTCGAAACTTGACTCCCACACCTTAACAGGAATCAAGCGTCATTTCTATCCGTTTCCGCTTTGCGCGCTTCTCTATACAGCGTTATAGAAGAATCTCTCCTTTCAAGTCAATTGATGAATGCAGCCCTCTTCGCGGTGACAATCATTTGAAACTCTGGTGTTCAGCAGGAAATTTATTCCTGACCCCCAAATGGCAGACTGTTTCATTTTAAAACACAGCATTTGCCGGACTGAGCGATCTAAATGCTCAGTTACCACATCGGGGAATATCATCGGAGTCTGTTCAAACCGTCCCACCAAAATTGTTTGCAAGTCCTGCTTTCGTATTCGCAGAAGATCATGTTCATCATAACATTTTCTGGTTGCTCCTGCCATCAGATCGTCGTAGAGTACTCCAATTATCACAGTGCAGTGTGTCAATCAAGAACAAGGTAGTGATGAGTTGACAGCTCTGAGCCGCTCTTGACGAAAACATCCATCATAGAACGTCGTAAATCAGACGATACAATTATCAAATCAATTATCTGTGCAAAACATCTCCGTACCAAATATGCTGATGCACGCTTCGATGCTCGAAGGTGTTCAAGACAGTCCGTTGTTTGCGTAGAAACGCAACAACTCCAAGTCGTCATTGTTAAGGTCACTATAACCGTTCTTCCCAATCATGCTACTCCAATTTTCAGTGTCGGCGCTGGCATGCGCATTGAAATTTCCTATTAGAATGAGGGACTCCGCAGTCAGCACTTTGCTTAGAGCACCATTCACTTCCTCAAGGAAGTAATCATATTCTCCCTACAAATTAGGTACATAGGCCTGTGACAAGGTGAACGC